GTGTGATATGGGTGTGATAATCATGTGATTATCAATCACACAATTATCACATTATCGCTTATATCAACACGATTTGGGTGTGATAATCATGTGATTATCACACAATTATCACATTATCGCTTATATCAACACGATTTGGTGTGATAATTGTGTGATAATGGTGTGATATGGGTGTGATAATCATGTGATTATCACACAATTATCACAAGGATTCCGCTTGGCTACGGTTAACTTAGAAAATTGACTACCGATTTGGTGTGATATGGGTGTGATAATCATGTGATATAACTATCATAACAGCGCATTCGATTTGATCATGGTTTCGATCGGTTAGGATTAGACGATCACACATTTATCACAACAATTACGGGTGAAATCCACTAGATTTTGTGTGATATGAGTGTGATAATCATGTGATATCACTATTATAACATCACGTGCGCACTAAATTTGATCATAGTTTCGATCGGTTAGGGTTGACAATCACACATTTATCACAACGATTACTCATGGTTTCGATAGGTTATGGTTACACTTCATTGATTATGGTTTCGATWGGTTATGGTTACACTTCATTGATTATGGTTTCGATAGGTTATGGTTACACAATCACACAATTATCACAAGGGGAGAGGAGAGAGTGGAAAAGAACGTRCAKGAAAAAAAGGGATAATTATGACGAATTAAAATAAAATAAAATTATAAAATTAATTAATTACATTACTGTCCTTATTAATTTATTTATATTTAATATAAGTTAATTTATTAATTAAAAAAGTTTGAGGTTATTAGATTGTTCTCGCATTCTTGAACTTCACCTATATATATATATATATATATATATATATATATATAAATAAAGTAAAACAATGGAACTCCTACGTGCATCTTCACAATTGAGTATTTCAAATTCTTGCTTCCTTATCACCGCACGTCACTCATCTCCAATATTCCAATAATTTCGATTTTTATCTGCCTATTCATCTTCTCTGCTTTCTATGCCTATTTACCTTCCCGTCATTTTCTGAATTTCTTATTTAATTTTGCAGTGGAAGTGGGAAATGGTGGGTGAAGGTGGCGGGAGAAGCAGTCGCCACCCATGTGTGGTGGCCAGAAAAGAAGACGAACAGGAGCCCATCACCCGAGAAACGAAATGAGATTCAAGGCTGTGGACCAAAGTAGTACATATATAATAAAGGTAAGGGTGTTTATGTTGTGTGTATCTGTTAGAGTATTTTGGTAATCTCTATTGTTCTAGTCTAGTATAAATAGGTGTGTTTCATGTGACCATTTTCATTCAATCAATACAATTCATCAGTTTCTCATTTCCTTGATAGTCTTTAAATGGGAAAATATGGTTTCCATTATGGAATTTATGTTATCAACAGTTACCATTTTTGGGAAAATTAGGCCTATTCAGTTTGAGTTGGTTTCCCAAAAATAGATGCATAAAATAAGCCCTACAGACTGCTTAAGAAAATCATGCAGCCATGCAATGAGCACAAAGCCAACTATTCTTTCGCCTTTTACTAAAGAATACCGTGTGCTCGTTGCTTACAATGGCATACCCCTATTTTTGGAGAGGTTTTCATTTTATGAATGCCTCCTACAATTTGTAGTCTAAATTATATGAGATGCATTGTTTTGATGTTAATTACAAAGCTGACCCTAACATCGATGTTACAAGACTTGTTTAGTTAAGCAAGGTTTATTTTATGTTTAAAAGCGACTCAAAACGCAATAAATATGAAACTCGAGTTCAAAAAACAAGTTAAATGCTCGAGTTTCCAAAACTGAAAACCCCTACAGCCCTACTATCAGGCAATGCAAATCTTGAACTTTTTATGATGATGAGAAAGATGGAATTTTAAGAGAGGGTCTCACTGGTTGCAGAGCAAACACCACGAAAGCCAAGCTACATACAAGTTATCTACGGTTAGATCGTTACGGTGTCATCCCACATTGATAATAAAATGAAACATGTAGCCATGTCTAAACCTATTTAAGAAGGTAGTTGTAGAACGTTAAACATACTTACCTGGACGGGGTCAATGAGTGATCAAAAAGGCTCATGGTCTAGGTTGGTGACCTCCATTGCACACAGGAGGGGTGCCTGCCTAAGGTCGGCCCAAGTGGTCGAGCCTACGTCATAATTTGTGACAGTGAGGGCCAGCGTTCGCGCGGCCCTTTCGAAATCCAAGTTTTGAACATTTTCTTGAACTTTTATCTCTTTTGATTGTTACGTAAAATGGTCCTACAATTGCCTACCAAATGCTACCTTCTCAGTATATTGTCTCTGGTGATCATGGCTAAACCACCAATCAAACTACATACACCGAGGTGATTGCAACATCTGCACAAGGACAAGTTTCTATAATTAAACTATTACCAATCTTAATATCAAATCAGATTATGTTATTGTTAGGTGCCAATTCGTTACATCAATAATATACGGATATCTACAACTTCTTATCTATAGATTTATTTATCTTGTTTTCTTTATTTAATTTAGAGTTCATATGGGAAATATGTTGGAAAAAAATGGAGAAATATTGTAATAGAGTACACAAAGAGATTGGAATGACCCTGGTAAAAAAATTGTAGCATGCAAGGCTGAAGAAACATTAACAGGTAAAACATAGTTTGAAGGGAAATAGAATGACAAAAAGAGCACCCATGATACCAGATTCTTCTTTTGTATATTCTTCTTGTTCCATTTTCAAAGACCTGCCAAATAACCTTCGAATTATGACCAAGGTAACGAGGTTGAAGAAGATTTTGAGGCAGTGGAAGAAGTGGAAGTGGGAAATGGTGGTTGAAGGTGGCGGGAGAAGCAGTCGCCACCCATGTGTGGTGGCCGGAAAAGAAGACGAGCAGGAGCCCACCACCCGAGAAACGAAATGAGATTCAAGGCTGTGGAGCAAAGTAGTACATATATAATAAAGGTAAGGGTGTGTATGTGCGTGTATCTATTAGAGTATTAGACTAGTGTTAGGGGTCGTTTACCAAACACTTACGGGGTAAGTGCTTATCAAGTTACATTACCTGATCGATGAATATGGGAAGAACCAATAATCTTACCCGGTAAGAACAAAGATAAGGACCTAGAGTCTTACCCGGTAAGTGAGGACGATAACTCTTACCAAGGTTAGAGCTTATCGGGTAAATTATTGTATACGATATCATTTCGTGGACTAAAATCTTACCCGCTAAGTAAGTGATAATATTGAATTTTGCTGATAAATTCTTACAGGGGTAAGCGTTTGGTAAACGGGCCTTTAATGTATTTTGGTAATTTCTATTGTCCTAGTCTAGTATAAATAGGTGTTTCATGTAACCATTTTCATTCAATCAATACATTTCAGTTTCTCATTTATAGTATCTAAATGGGAAATATGGTTTTCATTGTGGAATTTATGTTATCAATAGTTACAATCTGGGAAAATTAGGCCTTCAATTTGAGTTGGTTTCCCACATCGTGACCTGATTGCAAATGTGAATCCAAAAATAGATGCATAAAATAAGGCCTACAGGCTGCTTAAGAAAATCATGCAGCCATGCAATGAGCACAACGCGAACTACTTTTTCGCCTTTTACTAAAGAATACCGTGTGCTCGTTGCTTACAATGGCATACGCCTATTTTTGTTGAGGTCTTCATTTTATGAATGCCTCCTACAACTTGTAGTCTAAATTATAAAATGCATCGTTTAGATAAAGGCAAAATTGGTGTTACGAAGCCGACCCTAACATTGGTGTTACAAGACCCATTTAGTTAAGCGAGGTTTTTTTTTGTGTTCAATAGATTGCTAACTCGATAATTACAAAGCTCGAGGTCAAAAAACAAGTTAAATGCTCGAGTTTCCAAAACCCCTATTATCAGATACTACAAATCTTGAACTTTATATGATGATGAGAAAAATGGAATTTCTAAGACAGGGTCTCACTGGTTTGTCTGGTTGCAGAGCAAACATCACCAAAGCCAAGTTGCATACAAGTTATGTAGGCTGTGGCATAGAAACAGGTTGGTTATTTTTGTCTAGATTGTTAGGGTGTCATCCCACATTGATAATAAAATGAAACATGTAGCCATATCTAAACATATTTAAGAAGGTGGTTGTAGAACGTTAAACATACTTACCTGGATGGAATCAATGAGTGGTCAAAAAGGCTCATGGTCTAGGTTGGTGACCTCCATTGCACACAGGAGGGGTGTCAGCCTAAGGTCGGCCCAAGTGGTCGAGCCTACGTCATAATTTGTGACAGTGGGGGCCAGCGTTCGCGCGGCCCTTCTAATTATGAATCTTTAATGTTTTCTTGATCTTTTATCTCTTATGATTGCTACGTAAAATGGTGTCCGGTTGCCCACCAAAAGCCACCTTCTTAGTATTGTCTCTGGTCATGGTGGCTATACCGTCGTCATTTCTAGATAAACCCATTAATTGGTATTTAACTGGTACCTGCAACAAAAAGAGAAACCGATCAAACTACAAACAGCGAGGTGATTGCAACATCTCCGCAAGGACAAGATTTTATCAATAAACTACTACCAATCTCAATATCATATCAGATTATGTTATCGTTAGGTGCCAATTCGTTACATCTATAATATACGAATATCTACAACTTATATATAATAAATTGTAAGCACTCGCCACTCTCATTTACCGCGTAAGATTCTTGGTTTTTGTAATCTCACCCTGTGGCCAATTAGGTAAGTGACGAGATAATTAAGCTTTTACCTGATTCATGTTTGGTAAACGACGATCTTAAGGCAAACTTCGTTGCATTCTGCGCTGTTTTATTTTAACTGTTGTTGAATAATTTATAATCTGTTTTGTGATTTGAACAAAAGCCACATGCATTTACATCCATTTGTTAACTCTTCGATAAAAAAATGGCCGTCGTTCCTTTTATTGAACTGGCATCTGAACGTGAATGCAAATGCGGAGCTAAAAGCTGGTGCAAAAAGAAGGCCCTTAGCATCGTTTTAGTATCATGCATCCATGCAATGAGCACAAAGCAAACTATTCTTTCGCGTTTTACAAAAGAATATTGTGTGCTCGTTGCTCATAGTGGCATACACCTATTTTTGAAGAGGTCTTCTTTTTTATGAATGCCTCCTAAAATTCGTAGTTTCAATTATCAATTATGTATTTGAAACCAAGTCCCATAAAATTTATGTAGAATGTGGCATGAGAAGTTTGGTGTGTTGTTTGTGGCTAAATCGTTAAGGTGTCATCCCACATCACATAGTGAAACCTGAAGCCACATCTTAATCTGTTTAAAGAACTTTTTGTCCAACTAGAAACATACTTACCTGGACGGGATCAATGAGTGATCAATAAGACTCATGGTTTAGGTTGGTGGTTTCCATTGCACATTGGAGGGTGCTAGCCTAAGGTCGGCCCAAGTTGTCGAACCTACATCATAATTTGTGATAGTGGGGGCATGCGTTCGCGCATCCCTTATCCACTTTCAAGTAAAAAAATATCATTTCTAAACGAGTTAAATTTAGGCACTACATGTTGAAAAATCCATTACACATCCGATGCGTGTTCGTGCACTCTCTATATGTGCGTGGTTGACTATACGTCCATTGTTAAGTGTCAAGATTAACTTCATCTTTTTAACCTCGATTTGTGAACTATATCAATTGGGTGTTTCTTTATGTCGGTTTTCCCAAACCAATTGGATCAAAATTACCTCTTTGTAGCGTCATTTCTGTTAAAAATTGTCAATCATTTGAACAACTATGTAATTATGTTCAGATGCCAGTTCAATAAAAGGTAACAAATTGGCACCTAATAATAATATAATCTGATTTGATAAGAAGTTGTATATATTTGGTGTATGTAGTTTGATCAGTTTTTCTTTTTGTTGCTGGTACATAAATGACGATGGTAGCACGATCACCGGAGACAACACTGAGAAGGTGGCATTTAGTGGCAATCAGAAACCATTTATATAAGAATCAAAAGAGAGAAAAGTTAGAGAAAACGTTCAAAACTTGGAATTAGAAAGGGCCGCGCGAACGTTGGCCCCCACTGTCACAAATTATGACGTAGGCTCGACCACTTGGGCCGACCTTAGGCAGGCACCCCTCCTGTGTGCAATGGAGGTCACCAACCTAGACCATGAGCCTTTTTGATCACTTATTGATCCCGTCCAGGTAAGTATGTTTAACGTTCTACAACCACGTTCTTAAATAGGTTTAGACTTTGCTACATGTTTCATTTTATTATCAATGTGGGATGGCACCCTAACTATCTAACCGTAGTCCGTAGATGACCAACCTGCTTCTATGCCACAGCCTACATAACTTGTATGCAGCTTGGCTTTGGTGTTTGCTCTGCAACTAGTGAGACCCTGTCTTAGATATTCCATTTTTGTCATCATCATAAAAAGTTCAACATTTGTAGTGTCTGATAATAGGGGTTCTGGAAACTCGAGCATATAACTTGTTTTTTGACCTCGAGCTTAGTAATTATCGAGTTTGAGTTGCTATTGAACAAAAAAAATACCTCGCATAACTAAACGAGTCTTGTAACACCAATGTTAGGGTCAACTTTGTAACACCAATTTCGCCTTTATCTAAACGATGCATTTTATAATTTAGACTACAAATTGTAGGAGGCATTCATAAAATGAAGACCTCTCCAAAAATAGGTGTATGCCATTGTAAGCAACGAGCACACGGTATTCTTTAGTAAAAGGCGAAAGAATAGTTCGCTTTGTACTCATTGCATGGCTGCATGATTTTCTTAAGCAGCCAGTAGGCCTTATTTTATGCATCTATATTTGGATCCACACTTGCAATCAGGTCACGATGTGGGAAACCAACTCAAACTGAATAGGTCTAATTTTCCCAAATGGAAACTGTTGATAACATAAATTCCACAATGGAAACCATATTTTCCCATTTAGATACAATCAAGGAAATGAGAAACTGAATTGTATTGATTAAATGAAAATGGTCACATGAAACACCTATTTATACTTAGATTAGAACATTAGAAATTACCAAAATACCCTAACACTAGTCTAAATACTCTAATAGATACACACAACATAAACACCCTTACCTTTATTATATATGTTTTACCTGTACAATTTTTTTTACCTATTTATACTAGATTAATGTTAGGGTCATTAATCTCTTTGTATACTCTATTACCATAGAGATGATGGATATCGTTAAGCAATATCATCAGATATTTCTCTTGCATCTGCAAGCTTATCATGGATGTCACAAGATATCAAAGACGGTATTTCAGCTCGGTGTTTATGGCAGAACAAACTCAAACGTGGTCAAGCCGCTAGCAGAACATACAAGGGGATAGTAATTCACAGTGGTGAGGGAAAAGCCAATGCAGCATCAATAAGCATTAGAAACACCAAGTACCCTTTGCAGGCGGCCGGATGTATCAGAATGGTGCTGCAAGAGTGTAAACAATCCTTCAGTTGATGGATACTTGTTCTAAAACTCAAATCAAAAGGTTGCAGAAGCCCTTCAGTTAATGCACACAAGATGCGTTTCATTTTCAACAAACCCGTGAATCTTTCTGAGTCATCAATCATCAAGAATCTATTAGATGAAACAAACCTGTGAATCTGTATCAGTCATCAATCTTGAATAACAAAACCATGTGTCAACAATTACCAAAAAAAGGCAAAACCTTCAAGTAACAGAAAGGTTCTTGACAAAAACTCATATCAGAAGGAACATTCATCTGCTTGACCATCAAAATCACAAATAGAACAGGGAACCCCACAATCGTTCAGCGATTTTGAAGAGATAGCGAGAGATCAAACTTGAGAACGTAAATCCTCATCGATAAAATGTTAATTTCTTCTTGCTTATCAAGCTTTTCCTTAAAAATTAATGAAATGCTGAGACAATTTTGTTGAATATCAAGAAGAAACATATTTTCTTGGGAAATTTAAGACAGATGCAGTGTTTTTATTCATTATTAAAAAGGGAATAGATGATTTTAAGGTGTAAAGTTAGAAAAAGATGAATGAAACAGTTTGTAAAAGCGAGATGAAGGAACGCCTGCGCCTCCCTTCTCCAGTTTGCCACTCTCTCGTTCTTCGCCATGAACACCTACGACACAGCCTCCTCCCCCATCGAGGATTCCAACATCTAAAACGTCATTCAAGAGACATACAACAAATAAACATTTGGGGGTTAAAAAGGARGGAGTGTATTTGATCATTTCATCAACAAAGAAGCAAAGTAGTTCAAAAACGGAAGCAAAAAGCATAAAACCTTACCTGTCAAGATGGAGGATGCCTTCAAAAACAGTGATAAAACCTTACTGGATGAGAAAGTGGCCTGATCGGTCATCTTTTTTGCTGTGGGTACATACTTACCTTCAAGTAACAAAATGGGTTCTGATGGGTTTTTTCGAAAAAATACACCATTTTACATGATTATAAAAAAAAGATAACAAGCTTGAAAAAAAGGTTCAAATCTAGAAATTAAGAAGCTTAAAAAACCGTTCAAAACTCGAAATTAGGAAAGAGGCCGCGCGAACGCTGGCCCCCACTATCACAAATTATGACGTAGGCTCGACCACTTGGGTCGACCTTAGGCAAGCACCCCTCCAAAGTGCAATGGAGGTCACCAACCTAAACCATGAGTCTTTTTGATCACTCAATGATTCCGTCCAGGTAAGTATGTTTAACGTTCTACAGTAACTTTGTTAAATAGATGTAGACATGGCCACAGGTTTTATTCGATTATGAATGTGGGATGACACCCTATTAATAACCAACCTGCTTTATATGCCAAGATTATCTTAGGCATGGTTTTGGTGTTTGTATACTCAAGTCAGCATCCCGTGGAGACCATGTCCTACCACTTTTATTTAGTTTTGAATTATATATTTGACAATGGAACTCCATATTAATCTCCGTTATTCAAAGAGTGGAAGATTTTAGGTGCCAGGAATGATAACGATGATTGGATCGTTAACAAGCTACCCGATATCTCGAACATAAAATAAAACGTAACGTGACACCAATCATGGACTGGACCTCTGGAAGTTCATTTAATTTTTTTCAATCTAGCGAAACAATCTCACATTTTCTTAAAAAAGTCATAGCTTGTAATGTCTGAATTAATCAGAATGTATAACTGAGATTTTAAAGCACTTGAGCACGATGGATATAAATTTAAACTGCAAATTATAGGAGGTTTTCAAATAAATGAAAACCTCTCCAAAAATAAGCGTATGCCACTTGAAACAACGAACACACGGTATTCTTTAGTAAAAGGCGAAAGAATAGTTCGCTCTGTGTTCATTGCATGGCTGCGTGCTTCTTAATGTAGACTGAGGGTCTTATTTATGCATCTGCTAGACTCCACATTTGCATCCAAGTCTCCATGTGGGAGACCTACTGAAATTGAAAAAAATGTTTGATTTATTATTTCAATAAATAAATGGATGTTAAAGGTGATAGATGCATTTCAAACTTTAGTAATTATGGAGTTTGAGTCGATATCGAACACAAAATAAACCTAGCTTAATTATACGAGTCGAGCTTTTTTGTTTCACGTTGAGCCGAGTAATATGAGCATATATATTTTTTCGAATCAAACATTTTTCATATGTCCATAAATGGTACGATTATGATCGTAGAATCAGCAAACCTCAAACGACTTAATTGATCTCCGTTTCAAACCCATAAACGCCTTATAAATTCTGAATTTTTATGTCATGATATGCAAGCATGCAACTCAAATTATTAACCAAACATTAATCGCAAGTCTTCTTAATCAGAGTTTATTCTATGCTACATTTATTAGAGAGCTTCTCAACTATGTATTTTATAATTTAGACTACAATTTGTGGAAGGGATTTAAATACATAAAAACCTATCCAGAAATAGGCGTATGCCATTATGAGTACACGGTATTCGTTAGTAAAAGGCGAAAGAATAGGGCTCATTGCATGGTTGCGTGATTTTGGGACCAACTTAGAGCTCGATAGCCAATGTTTTTAAACCTATTCAGAGCTCAATGTAGAATTTATTTGAGCTCGATAACCGACGGATTTTGAACCAATTTAGAGCTCGATAACCATGGATTTTGAACCAAATTAGAGCTCGCTAGCCACTAGATTTTGAACCGATTGAACCAACCTTAGGCAAGCACCCCTCCTATGTGCAATGGAGGTCACCAACCTAGACCATGAGCCTCTTTGATCACTCATTGATCCCGTCTAGGTAAGTATGTTTAATGTTCTACAACCATTTTCTTAAATAGGTTTAGACATGGTTACATGTTTCATTTTATTATCAATGTGGGATGGCACCCTAACGATCTAACCACAAATAACCAACCTACTTCTTATGCCAAGACTTCATTGGGATTGGTTTTGGTGTGGTTTACTCGTTTTTCATCGGTGAGACTACGTCTTAGAGCTTCATTTTGTTGTTAAGCATATATATAATATTTATATACGATAAAATAAAATAAAAATCTCATGTTAGTCATAATGGTAATGATCGTAGCATTAAACGAGCTACTCGAGCTTTAGCAATTCCAAAGCTCGACTCAATCTCGAAAATAGAACGCATTTAACTAGGCAAGTTGAGCTTTTAACACCAATGTTCAACTTGACAATCGAAAGCCAAATATTTTATATATTTTTGTAAATCGTTATAGCTTATAAAGTTTGAAAAAAATTATAATTAATCACTCATAATTTTTAAGCTCTTCAGCTGCATAATGTATAATTTAAACTACAAATTGTAGGAGGCATTCAAATAAATGAAGACCTCTACAAAAACAGACATATGCCACTTTGAGCAACAGACATAATCCCATGTTTGACTTTGTTTAACCTCCCTAACTTTGGGATTCACTTATCTAATCCCATTTTCTATTTTACTTTTACAACAAATATTTTTATGTTCGAGCTCTTGTGCATCGTCAACGTTACAGATAATTGAAGACCCAATGCTCTCAACCAAGCGACAATCGACTAGTCTATCGAAACTATCCTCGAGACGTATGTGGTCTGTACAATTCCACCTACTTTGTTGACGGGTTTACTAAAAAAGACGATTGTTCTCACTAATCTGCTTCCATGCCACAACCTACATAACTTGTATGCAGCTTGGCTTTGGTGGTGTTTACTCAGTTGGGCATCCCGTGAGGCCACATCATA